CTGATGGATTCCATCACTGCAGAGGAGCGCGCCGCCACCACCACCACCACCAGCAGCACTCAAGAGGAACTTCTGTCGGCAAGCGCCGAGGCAACGCCGAGTGCCGTCGCCGCATCGGCAGCGGAAACGGAAGCAGAAGAAGAAAAAGAGGAACATCAGCAGCAGCAGCAGCAGAACCTTCAACAGTCCCAGCAGACCAAGTACTGCCGAATCTGCAATGACATTGCTCTGGGTGATATATAAATACATTTTTTGCTTACATTTAACTTTACAATTTTTAGCTCCCCGTTTTCAGCGTTTTTGCCTACGAATAGAGTTACATTCACTAATTGCATTGTTTGTTTTTTGTTTTTTCTTCTTCTTCTTCTTCTTCTTTTCACCACTATCACCACCGCCTCTGGAACTAAGGTTTCAACTTTAACGGCCTTTCCTGCGAGAGTTGTGAGTAGTAGTGCCTGCCTGCTTGCCTCTGTGTGTAGTGCGACATTCGTACACTTTGCTGAATTTTTTTTTATTTTGCAACCTACAACATTTACTTTTAATTTATTCACCAAACAATGCTCTTTCTCGCACACACAGGCAAGGCGTTCTTCAGGCGGAATGCTTACAAGGAAAAGGTATCATTAAATAAAAAAAACTTTGACAAAGTGAAATAATGTCTCTTTAGGTGACTGTCTGACAACGAACAGTTCAGACAGCAAACAGTATCAACAGTACTTTTTTTTCTTGTTAAAAAAGTGACAATAACAATTTACACACATTTTTCTTTTTCTTCTTCTTCTTCTACTTTTTTATCAAACCAGCAATTGCGTTGTCGACGCGGCGGCGACTGTCTTATTGTGAAGAGCACGCGCAAATTTTGCAAAGCTTGCCGTCTGGCTTCCTGTCTTAAAAACGGCATGAAAAAGGTAATACAAAAAACAAAAACATAAAAAAAAGTTTCCGCTTTTTAGCATTGCCACTAAATCATTTCATCATTTCTGCAGGACCTGATCTCCTCCGTCAAGAATGAACGCGAACAGCGAGAGTTGCAGTTGAGTCTCAGCGTTGGTAATTACAGCAGCAGCAGCAGCAGCACTAACCATAGTCAAAAAAAACTATCACTGATTTTGATCAATAATAGATTGAGAAACAAAACAAACTTTTTTTTCCACTTTTTGTTCACAGAAGTGGCCCACCTGAAGGCGTACGACTTTGAGCGTTTCACGCAGGTCCAACGGGCGATGCGCATCTTCAAGGAGGAGGACCAGCTGCCGCTGGTCAGCCTGGAGGGGCCGGACACGGCGACCATACTGAACATCAACCAGTACTACGTCAACGGGACGATTCGCTACTGCAAGCACTTCGACTGCTTCACCGACCTCTCGCAGGACAATCAGATGATCCTGGTCAAGTGGTTCCACCAGGAGATGGGCGCCCTCCGGGCGGCCTACAACTACCAGCCGCAGGAGGATGGAATTCACGTGCTGGCGGTAAATGTTGTTGTTGTTGATGATGATTTGCAGGTTTTAGGTTAAACAAACAGACAAAAATGATAATAAAAATTTTGCCCATTTTTTTTTGCTAGGATGAGTCGGGAAAGCGGGCCACCTTTGTGCGGCTGAACCGGCCCGAGCTGGTCCACTTTGCGCCCGTCATCAGCATCTACCGGGAGCACCTTGCGACGATGAACGCCGAGCTGGAGGGCGACGCCGCAATACGAGATTTGGCAAGTTTTTTTGACTATTAGAAAATTTTGATTTTGTTTTGAAACCAAAAATAATTTGTTTAATGTTTATTATCGATTGATCAGATGATTGCCCTCAGTCTCTTCAAGCCTCGCAGCGGCATCACCTGCGACGAGTACATGCGCTACTGCCACTACCAGGTACTTCAGTAAAAAAAACTAATAAGATCTAGTTTGAAAACTGTTTTTTGTTTGTTTGCAGATGAGCTACCTCCTTCGTCGGTACCTGCAGCACAAGTACCGCAAC